GTAAATTTTCACCTTGGGAAATTAGCAACAAAGCCGGATCTGTCTCGCGGCTGCTTTGCACTTTCCGAGGGCGGCTGTACTTGACTGAGCTGCAGAACAGGCACACGAGAGCGAGCGCGAGGGAGCCAGCGAGAGAGGGAGGGAGAGAAGGAAAGGAGAGAAGAGGGGAGGGGTGGGGGCGAGAGGTAAATAGTCTTAAATCGGAAGGGAGCTGCTTCTCTGTGGTCTTGACAAGCGCTGCCTGGGCTCCGCCGGCTCAGTAATAACTGAGTGACCTTTTCTTTGGCTGTATTATGTCTGGCTGGGAAGGGATTGCGTTTTGCAGCTGAGAGCCGGGGCTTCCTTCAGCTCGGCTCCTCGCGTGCTGCTGGGTAAGTTGTCTTGAGCCAGGACGGAGAGAGAGACAGCCTCGGACTGCAGTTGCCTAAAAGGAGGACACCTGTGGCTCAGATGCGGTCAACACCATTACTTGGCGGATCCTTGAGGACCTCATTATTTTAAACTTAAAAAATAGAAATCCCCCCCCCCTTTTTTCAAACAATGCTTCTTTTTGACCTTTCCCAAGGAGAAGAGCTACAAAGCAGCCACTGTGCTTTCTGAACGGCCTCCCCCTGTATCGCTTAATTGAGAAGGTAAGTGCAGCAACTGTGTACACACGCGTCGGCTTATTTGTGGTGTGTGTGTCTGCGGGTGCGCGCGTGCGTGTGCGGATGTGGGTATTTTTTTCTTCCCCAAGCCTCCTAATGAGGCATAAACTGGAGCTGCAGCCCAGCTCCGCACTGCAACTTTCGCTCGGGCTGCAGCTCTGCTGAGACGGTTTTGTTTAAATCATGTGAGGCTTCATTATTTTTATGATGAGACATGAAATAGATGCAGGCGGAAGATGTGGATGGAAGGAGGGAGAGCGGCTGCGGCGCGGAACGTCTCAAGTACGACTCGAGTGGATAATAGTCAAAGTTCACGATGAACTGCAGCATTTCCACACCCCTGACTTCCAGGGACAGAGGGGCAGAGAGAGTTTGGAATTAGGACATGTTCACTCGGGCCAAGCCCATAGGAAGGGAATTCGGTCCTAGGTTGGTTACAGACCCCCCTTCTCCTTACTTACTGGAATTCTTGATCCCCTCCACCCCAAGAGTTGAAATTACAATCTTTTGGTTCTTGTTGACACTTCTGCTTCTCCCCACTCTGCCATAACAAAAATGTGGTTCCTACGAGAAGGAAAAGTGACTATTTGGGGAGAAGGGGCTGGTCGGGGAGAAGTGACCAGAAGAGAGAGGTTCCGTGGAGCAGGGTGCCTATGTCCTAATAGGTTGAGATTCGAACTGATGCAGTGCATTTTTACAGGGGCTACCCACATAGCCGTTATGAAATACAACTCAGATTTATGATCTTTTTCATATTGAACATGATATGCTATGCTAACCCTGCATGTGACAGTTTAATCAAATCCATTTGTTACCACGAAGCTAAAAGGGGCCGCTGGGATTTTAGGATTACGGGCAGAGTTAGGGAAGCATGTGGCTTTGTCATTCGCCATCATTTTGCACACTGCCACACTGCGAGGGGCTCTGTGTGTGCGCCCTGTCTCGTCTGGTCGCCCTCATCCCTTCCCCCACCCCCCGCCGCCACTCCGACCCGCTCCTAAAGTGGCTTCACAATAGTCAGTCCTCCGCTGTGTGGGCTGCGCACCAGGTCCACACTTGAGCTTATTCAAGGAGACTCCCTTCTACGTCTACCTCTGGGCTTGGTGCTCAATGCGAAGCCGCTGCAACTCAGGCACGCCTAAGTCAACTCATGCAGAAAAAGGAGAAAAGTTTTGGTAAGGTTACAATCTATCATAGATGCACTTTGCCGGCGCTCGGCACTCTTGGCTCCTCAAAAGCCTCCCTGCTCTTCCGCTGCTTTTGTGTCTTTCTAAAAGATCCAAAATATTATTGCCGTAACTGCTTTGAAAGACTGCTGCTTAAACCAATTAATCTTGCTAGGTGCAACAAATACTGCTACATTCTTTGCAAATCATCGCTGTGTGGCTGCAAAGACACAACCACAAAAGGCTGGAGCATAACTCCGCAAGGGATTCTTTGTTAGAGTGTATGTATGTTTCTTATTTTTTTTTTATTTTGCATGTGAGCTGCATCAAAATTGAACTCAGTCTTGCAAATCTCTTGTTGGCCTTTGCCAAGCACTAGCACTTTGCTGCCATGGTAACTGTAATTAAACTGATAAGAGTGGAAAAATGTCAGTATCTCTGAGCCTTGCAGCTGCATTGGAGAAAAAGGGAATCAAATTGGTTCCCAGCTCCATTGCTCAAAAAGGGGAGGGGGTGGTGGGTTTTTTTTTGGTGGGGGGGAGGTGGGAGTTGAAGGGGCAGAACAGAGTTAAGCAGCTCCAGCGCCTGAGATCTGGGGACATCTATTTGCATTGTTGTCCCTTAGGGGGCTTCAGCCTGTAGGGATGCTCTGGGCCAGTGAACAGAGAGAAACAAGCTTTTAGGCCCAATCCAGTTCTCCAATCAGGGCTGGGGGCTGGGAGAGGATGAAGATGGGCAGGAAGAGAGAAAATCTTTTGTTTGGTACCTCTTGGCAATCGAATGGCTGTGTTGGCCAAATTCTTTTAATCTGTGTCACTGCTCCCAGCTGCAGAACCTGCATTCCCATTTTAGCATCTTCCTGAGGCACCTCATCTCTGCCAAGCCCCTTTATGTATTCCCTCTTCCAATTCCTTTTCCCAAATTGTTCTCAGTGAATCTTCCGATGGGGACAAAATGTTTTCCATTCATTGTGTAGTTAGTCCAAAAATATAAAAGACTGTGTCTAAGTGCTGCAAATCTTTTATTATGATTATTTTTTTAAACCCCTGTGTGTTGTGGAGTTGTGGTTACTTTGTTGTGTTAACTACTGAAGCTGAGACTGCGCGGATGAATGGCACAGAACAAGGGAACATAATGGAGGCAATCAACCGTTAGGCCGCCTCACAATGCAATCCAGGCAATTAAAAGCTCACCAGAGTTTAAATGAAATGGTTCTACTTATTTCTGCACACCACACTGCACAGGCTATTATTTATGTCTTTTTTTTAATTATGATTTCCCTTAAACTGTCAAATAACTCAGAATGGCAGGGTCTCAGAGGCAATAAGAATTTCCCTCAGAACAATTTACATGCCAATCTAAAACTAGTTATGAGTCCTGATGTGCTATGAGCAACTTGTGAAATGTTTCTCAGCTCCAAACACATAACTCTACCCAGACGTGTACTTCTGGGTAGTGAGGGGAGGCTGTTTTATGCCTTTTAGGTTCATGGCAAAGTGGTGACTACAAAATAGTTCTTTTTAGAAAGCTGGTAAAGTTGCAGAGTATTGAAAAGATTTCTTTTGCAAGAGAAATGTGATGGTTTTGTCTAAAAAAACAATACCAGGATGGAGTGTGTAAAATATCAAACTCCTTTTATGCCCAAGGCCAAACAGAATGTAAGAGTTTCAAATATTAATTGGCCTCTGAGTGCTAAATTAAAATGTCAACACAACAAAAACATTTTGTGAAGACAAGCAGGGTAGTGTCGCTTGTGCCAAATGTTGGTATACACAACATAGGGAAATATATATAGCTTAGCTACCACTAAGAAGGATTTTTACAAAAAAATTTTAGCTTTGTGATATAAAAAAAATAATAGCCTTATAAATTGGATAATTAGAATAGCCACTCTTAAAATATCTCTAGATATTTTCAATAATGAAATCCAGAATGTCATTTAGTAAATCAAAAGTTCCCCCCTCCCCCAGGTATATGGTTAAGAGGCACTAGGGTATGATCTGTGCTATAATTAATGGGATTCATCCCTTGTGGAACCTTGCTAGAAGACAGTAACTAGTTCTGATCAAAGAAACTTCATTTGTTAGAAGTTCTAGAGAGTGAGATTTAGCAGAGCTATCAAGGGTTATGATTAATCTACACTAGACCCTTAGCTCCTTCAAAGAAAAGGAACAGAAAGCAGGCTACAGGAATACCACCTGCTCTTCTGTACAAACCCAGCTGCTAGTTTGCAGCTCCGTAGACCACGGCTATGCATATCATACAGAAAGAACAGCTACTCTGTTTTCTTCTGTGTTATTCCCTATTCCATTACTCTACCAAGTTATTTTCTAATGGAAGCTCAACTTCATAACAATATTCTTGCAATTCATGTATTATTTGTAGCTAGAAAAGTTTTCAGCTGTGAGGATATGTTGCCTTCATGTCTCTTATTAGGGTGGTTATAAAAGAAAATGATTGCGAAGGTAGTAGAGATGAAGCCTCCTTCATAAGACATTAAAGGAACCTGATGAAGGTTTAACTATTTTGGAGTAGAAAAATATTCAGAAAATACTCAAATTATGACATTTCTTTCCTTGAAACTGTTTCGAATGCGTGTATATTTGATGTTTTGTATCCTTCCATGTCCAAGTTTAAAAACTTTATGCCGAGGAAGTATGATACAGTAGTGTAATCTCTGGACTGTAAGAAAGCCACCAAGTCTAATGTTTAACTGTTGTTCAGCTTTGAGCAACTTCCTCAATGTCTCTCAGGCCCCTGTGGATCATAATTTGTAAAATGAACGATTTGGAATTTATGATATCTGTGGTATTTTATAGTGCTTTAAATGTGTTAGTTGATAAATGTGAAGCTCTGAATAGTTGGTCCAGCTTTTTTTTTTAAAGGAAAGCAGAAAAAATTCAAAGGTGAATCTTCTTTCATTGAAAAAAAATTCGGTCAAGTTGTAAAACCCATTGAACCCAGCTAGACTCTTTATTTATGATGGAAATATATCTCCAAAATATAGAAATGTCTTTATATATAGTATAGCATTATATAATATATGTATATAATACATTTATCTTTATATGTGTAATTTTATGTATATTTAGACTTTGCCTTCTATTGCTTTTTCTTCTATAAAATAAATAAGTGCATGTTTATGGTAATAAATTACATAATCACATATTTTAGTTTTATTAGAAAAACACGTAGTACTATACTGTTAGGTAATCTGCCATTAACAGGGCACTGAATGATGCTTGTAAGTATATTTTTTTTTATTTTAATATGATGAATATTTTGAAATGTCAAGGGCACAAAATTTTTTGGATGCAAAGAAGTAATATAGGATTGGTGAGCTTTTGGGGTGACTCTACTGTGTACTTAACTGTAAACATTTCTACTGCTAAGTAAGGATAGTATAATCCCATGAGAGTACACTCTCCTTCCATCAGCACACACATATTAAGTGAAATTTTTAATCAATTAAAACCCCTCAATTTTGACTCCTATAGAGTGCGCATGGAGTAGTTTGTTAAATAACTTTCTTTTAAGATTGTTAGCCATTTACTCGCATTTTATTCCTGAAGGAACCACTCTGTGTAGAGAATGGGGACACTACAAACTTATTTAATGTGTTTTAACTTCGTGTAAATGAGGTAATCTTACTTATGTACAACACGAATTAATTACTTTTGCCACTTTATATGTTTGACTTTACAAATTCTCTAACAAGGACTTTATATAGTTTGAGCCTTCCTGTTTCCAAAATTTAGTTTGATTTTAGTATGGCCCTAAAAAAGAAAGTCTAATATTCTTTGAAAAAATGCAAAGTTAAATATTTAACTTGTTTGAGATCTTTTGACATCTTCTGATTCTTTCTTGTAAGTCCCAGCTCTCTCTCTCTCTCTCTCTTTTTTTTTTTCCTATCTTCCTTTAGGTATACAAATGCTCTCAGTCCAGCCAGACACCAAGCCGAAAGGTTGTGCTGGCTGCAACCGAAAGATCAAGGACCGGTATCTTCTAAAGGCACTGGACAAATACTGGCATGAAGACTGCCTGAAGTGTGCCTGCTGTGACTGTCGTTTGGGAGAGGTGGGCTCCACCCTGTACACTAAAGCTAATCTTATCCTTTGTCGCAGAGACTATCTGAGGTAGGAATTATCCTTGCACACCAGTGATGACTGGATTCCTTTTAAAATACTTTTGTAAGTGTATTTTTTGTTTATTTGTTTCATTTCCTTACTACCAGCCTATATTCCTGAAAGATGTTGACCTGTCAGCCTTCAAATTGTTGCCAGGTGCCTATTATGCAAATTATTGCTTAAGCAACAGTCAACAGCACACAATATCTAAAGTGTTTCGATTTGGCTTGCTTGTATGCCCATATTAGGGACAGGTTATTCCACTGCCTGTATTGAAACTGCCAGTTCATGTCAAGTATATATTTTGTAGAAATCATCATACAAATTTTTTATTAGACCACAGGTGACAAGGTAGACTGAGCATAACATAAAATTATTCAGCTATCTTTCTGTTTCAAATTTGTCAGAGAAATTCTGTTTGTAATTCTTAAATGGCATTTATTAGTATTTTATTGTACAGTTTTGAAAACTTTCCCCAAGTGTAGAATTCGTCTTTCCTCCATGGCATTCCAACTCGTCATCACAAAGACATCACTTAGCATTAACAGTCTCACACTTGCCAGTAGCTTTATGGAAATTAACAAAGGAAAGATCACCATCATTTTGGGGAAAAGATACTCATACTCCGAACCGTAGACATCTGAACAGTTTCAGTACAATACAGATGTTCTTGCTTTTGAAGCCATGAAGTCAATTTAGCTTTGTTTCTCAGTATTCAGTACTTAACACATGAACTTCTATTTAAGAAAAATTATTTTTCTTTCCAGGGAACTTTGTGACTTGATTCAGCTGCAAATTACTTTTATTAATAAAGTAGGATCAATCAAATTTAAGAAATGATATATGGCATCATTTGAGTTTTCATATTTGATACAATTAATCATTTTTCTAGTCTGACATTAAGCGATTTATTTAAAATTTTTTTCTCTTATGGCACAAAATTTATCAATCAGCCGTAACTCCTTAACTGTCTTGGCCATTTGGGGAGGTCCTTTCTAGGAAATTTGGTCCTTCTTAGTATATAACTCAGTTATTTTCAGTCCATTTTAATCTTGATATATAAAAACATACTGTTTGATTAATGATAGTTACAAGAGGGTGAATTCAGTACTGTTTTTCAGATTCTTCTCTTTCCCCATCTTAGGACTGCCTCATCTGACAGCCTCCTGACTAATTATGACCACTTGTTACCACTTCTCAGTGATCTGAGGGCACAAAATACATGCAAGTTGCCAACAATGGGAAGTGAATCTCTATAGCCAGGATTTTCCTCATTGCGGTGGCAAAACTAATCAGAATTAACTTATTGCGTGAATTCTTTTAGAACTGCAGTCTTTGAACTTTTCTCTTTGAAATAAAAATTTCTCCTCTGCTCATTGTGAATTAGAGCCTCATTTCCACATAAAGCATTTGTATTTGCTTGTAGTGATTTAACAGAGCTTGCTAATTTTGCTTCATCTTTACCAATCAACACTCATGGATTTTTGACTTTTTTTTTTTAACTTTTACATTTGTTTACAACTACAGTATCTCAAGTGGATTTATGTAAGAATGCCAAAACAATAAGTTTATATAGTCTTGGCAAGGTTGAGGTATCCTAATAAGTAATAAAGATAGATTTGAGTGAAATTTAATGAAAAGCTCTTGAAAGATCTGGATTTTTAAAATCAAAAATGTAGATTTGCCACTGAAATACATCGGTCCTGAGTAAAGCTGTTTTGCAATCGTCTATATAATATTGAGCAGAGAAAGTAACCTTAAACTTGTTTTATTTTATTCTTCCTTATAGTAATAAAAATACAATGTTCAACTGCCATTTGCTATCTCAAATAAATGTTTTGTTGAAGGGAATTTTCAAAATAGTTTCATATCAGAAATCAGAAATTCTATCTATCTCTAAAAGAGTCTATATATTGCTTTTTGTCTGGTTAATTACTGATAGGTTCAAACTTTTAATGCTTGTTAACTTTTTAAAAAATTTTCCTATCTTTTAAAATAAAACCCTTGTCCTGATTGCCAATATATTCATTTCTCCAAGTACAATTTCCTCCTAAATCGGTCATTACCACATTAATGGCCAGTTGTTATGTTAACAGCCTAAAGGTTGTTAACATTTCAAACTAAGTTAACAGCAAGCTTATTCCTTATTTAAACTGAAGGTTTGTTGTATATAACGTGACTTCTTTGGCAACTAGTAATTCATCAACACTTGGAAATTGCAGAAGTGAAATGTGGAATTGGTATGTGTATAAAATACTGTGTTATGTGTTACAGATTATGCCACAGATGTGGTATTTATGTTTATGAGGAAAGTGTGTATCTCAATGAAATTGTGTGGATGTTCAAAGGCATATGTCTCTGATTGGGAAATTAAAGTAGTCTGATTCTGTATGTCAAATAGACAAATACGATCAGACAAATTTTATTTATAAATTAACTTCTTTGAGTTGTATAGTCATTCAAAATGTTTATTGAATGCCTGCTGTTTGAAAGGCATAATTTTAGATAATGGATGAAATAATTAATAGAAAAATGGAGGTTTACCTTAAATTGTTACTATCCAACTGTTTATTAATTACATAAATCTGCAATATGATCAGTGAACAAATAGTATTCTATGGCTATTTTTCCAAACTTTGAAAATAATTTTTCTCATTTCTCTACTGTTTGTGTTTGGCACAGCCAGTGCTTAACCATTTAAATCCTATTAAAATGTGGTTTAGTTTGGTTTTTGGTCTTCGGATAATATATAATTTCTTTGAGGCACCAAACAAGCCATAAATAATTCATCTAAGTAAGAATATGGAAAATGACAAAAAAAGTAGTTTACCTGCATTAATAAATTGCTGGCTTTGGTATTATCCTGGGCTAGATAATTTTTTCGTATCTGAAGAAGAGTAACATATTTTTGCCAATTGTATTAACTTCCTGATAACTTGTCCTTCCAAAAGAGAAAACAAAAAGACACTTCTAATACTAAACAATGAGTTGAAGTTTTTACGCTTTATTTTGTGTTACTTGGAGCAGTGGTAGTACTGGCATGTTTTTACAAGTTCTTTAAATGATGAATCCAAAAATTTAAATCATAAGATATTCTCTTAAGAGTTATCAAAACTATTATTGTGGCATTTTTTATTTCTCTCAGATTTCTTTTTTTCCTTTGTGGTACAATTAGCTATATTTAAGAAAAAGAAAACACTTTACAGTTTATGTGGTTAGTTTTAAATCTTAACAGTTCATTTTTCATAACAAGGCTGGTAAAATGTTTTTTCTTTTTCTGTAGAATATCAAATGCACAGATCTAATGTGAGGAATTTGCCAGTTTGTAGGCTTGTTCACCTTCAGAAACAGAAAGATTGACTTTTAAAAACTTTCTCTATTAACTGCCTTCTGACCTAAACTATTAAGTCAATTGGCCCATCAATATTTATATACCAAGACCTAGAAATGTATCTGTTAAAAATGTATCCAACACATTTATAACTTTATATTTTTAAAAGTTGAGCCTTTGATCAATTAGACATGGAAGCATCTAGAGCTTAAAATTAATAGTCTGTCTAAAGTAGATTAACAATTACTGTGTTCAAATAGCAAAGTTTTACTAGTGATATTTACAGGACTCTAACTACTGCCAGACTATCATCCTTATTTCAGTTTGGAAATATGAATAAAGCAGTTATAGTAAGAGTTTTAGAATTAAGATTTTGTGGCATGTGTTAAGAAGTAAAACCAGGAGAAATAAAATATTTTTCAAATTGGAGGCAGTAAAGGATATCAGAATTTATCACTCAAGCTTTTGGGCAGTTTTTGCTTGTGTGTGTGTGTGTGTGTGTGTGTTTTGTTGTTGTTAAGCCTGAAGCTTATTACTTGTGGCATATTTTAAGCATTAAGTCAATATAGGCTATATCTTTCATCTCTATGAATGGTGTCTCACCAGAGAATGTATTCAAAGCTGTTTGCCGTGATATGTGCCATGGAAGCTACTTACAGATTTATATAAGCTGAAAATATCTTATATAAATTTTAATGCAATTTGCTATTTTTATATGTGAGGATGATT